GAATATGTAATCTACGCGGACGATACCAGTATATTTTTTTCTGGGGAAACCGCTGATGACCTCCTTGTTTCTGCTAATGAAATACTAAATAAAATATATGCCTGGACTGTGGCGAATTCTCTACACATTAATTGCTCTAAAAGCAAAGCTGTACTGTTTCGTGCGAAAGCCAGGTCATTTGAAACGTCTCACTAACAAATACTTAATAACGTTGAAATTAAACTTTGTCAAACAGTTAAAACTCTCAGTGTCCATTTTCACGAACACATGGCATGGAATTACCTAGCCGAACACATTAGTCGCAAACTTTGTAAAGTGTTAGGTGTGTTGCGTCGATGCCACAACCTACTACATGTGAAACAAAAAATATTTGTGTTTAATGATCTTTTTATTCTTCACATTTACACTATTGCCATCTGGTCTGGCCTACAGGTTCTAAAGCATCTCTAAAGAACCTGGTCGTGTTACAAAAAATGCCTTGCGGTGCATTGAAGATGTATCCTATAACGCACACACTGCTTCAATATTTGCAAAATATGGAATTTCAAGAATCACATGTTATTACGAATACCAGCTTTTGTCAGCTTTTAAATCAGAAATACGCAGAGGAAGTATCTTTTTACGCACCTTGGCTACCCTGCAACCAAATCCGGCCAGTCGCGTTACTCGGTATACGGAGACTTGGCACGTACCTTGCCCTCGCACAAACTATGGATTTGAAACCCTACGTTACCGCCTTCCAAGTGTGATGAACAAATGGAAACTAACAACTGATAATCTGCGTATATTGTCCAAAACTGAAATGTTAAATCGAATGTGCTGATTGTGTTGTAAATGAATGTTGGGTGATTTCTGTAATGGTTATTCAGTTTTTATTCTTTCATACATTGCTTTGTTATGAATATTTTTGTATGTATTTCAGAGTTGTCACCCTATTATTTGCTGTCATGAGCCACATGCGTGTTTCTTTTTATATTGTCGCTTTCCCTGCCTGTAATTTTTGTATTTTTGTAAATTTGTAGTTAAAATTTATTTTTCTGGCTGAAGGGGCTAGTCAAGCTGTGAAATGTAGCTTTTTTCCCTTCGCACAAATCCACGTATACAGTGTATTTTCGTGTACTTGTCACGTGGTTAAATAAACTCAAACTCAAACACTGAGCGAAGTTCGATTTGCGGAATACCGGCCACTGCGACTGAATTTTGACAGAGCAGAGGTACTGGCTTAACTGCCACTGTGGTTAAATTAAGGAGTATTTTTCAGAAAGTGAGATGGTCAGAAATTTTCGCAGCGCTTCACCGCGGCGTCTCTAAATATCATATCATAACTAGCCGACGTGAAACGTAAGTTATTGCAATGGTTATTGATTTAAATAGTAGAGGAAGAGGAGGCGAAAGCAAAAATGGGTGGTCTGTTTCGAAGAGGGGCGAGAAAAACACAGTCAGAACGTACAAACGGCCAGAAAGCCTACATCCTCACTTGTTTGTAATTAACCCGGATTCCTTATACAGTTTTAAAAATGTAAGAGCAGCAATGAAAGCCTCAATACAAAAAAAATATGCGCATATTAAGAAAGGTTGAAATTTTTCATCTACTCTCGGACAGTGGGTACTACAGTAAGTTAGAAACACGAATATGGCTGAATTACCTAATAACACATGAAATTTAGTTAAATTTGGTGGATAGAATAAATGTCGAGCTTGGTTATGAACCTCCTTTACCTGCAGCTATAAAAATAATTCCGTAATTATTGTATTTGTTTAAATTGCGCCAGTATTGAAAAAATACTTGCAGGAAGCTAGATTAGCAGCCATATTCAATATATACATGGTCTCCTAGTTATGACTCTACACGACTTAATAAAAAGAGAAACGTTCCTACGAGAAGCACACCCAGCTCATGTTGATCCCAGTGTACTATCGTATCCACTGTTATTTAGGTTCTTTAATGACGTCAAGGTAATTACTACTAATCTTGAATTTCTTTCAAAAGGCACTTTCCTAGTAATCAAAATACAGTGAGGGTATGTGGCGAAGACCTCTCCAGTGTCGTCACTTTAATAGCAGAGAATATGAAGTACAAGAAGGCAGTCGTGAACAACTTCAAGTGCTTCAAAATATCTTTAAGGAAACTAGACCATTTTCTTCGCCTTGAATTCATCAATACGGCATTTATTAGGAAAGAATCCCTGTTTTTGATTGATAAAATCATTTACCTCGGTTCATTTTTTGAACCGAGGTAAATGTTGGCTATCATAACTCTTCTTCGCCGTGTTGTCTGTTCTTTGAAGCTTACAGCCTGATTATAAATTATAAATTGTACAACTTGTTTAGCATTGATTGAAAGGCAGTTTTTGACACGCAGCTTCTCTTAGTCTCGAATTACCTGAGGAATCCTCGTTTTTCTATAAGTTAGAAGAACATCTTTACGGTCTATTCAGATTACACCTTTACACCTTTAAAGTCAATTTCTAATCAAAATGATCTTTGATAAAATACCATTTATTCATGGCTCCATGACCCTGATTTTGATCTGACCGTTTGAACAAAGCCTCATATGGGAAGTTTTCTGTTGCAATCATTCATTCATTCATTTATTCATTTGTTCGTTCGTTCATTTTTTTATTTCCATTGTAAAAATCCTATACAATTGCAGGGGCGTACAAAAAAAGCTGCTCTGGCTCTTGCACTACATGGTGGCAGCGTATTCATAATGCTCTTCAAATTCAAATTTATATAAGTAATCGAGAAGCTGGTCACTTAATTGAACGGGCATACAACCTCAAAAACAAGAGAGGGATATCGTCACCACTAGTACTTAAAATAAAAGTAACTCAGCTACAGCCGAGACTATCGAAAGTCAGTTAAGCCTGAAAAAAGTATTGGTTAAAAATGACTGGGATATTTCGTCTTGACACATACTAAATTTTTCTTTTTCGGCCAATATACAAGCGCTCACCAATCATATCGGTTTTCAGACCTAATCTAAAGTGATGTAAGTTAGAATACCAGCAATATATTTTTTTCTCAAGAAGAAATTACGCAATCACGGGGGGTAGAATATGATTATGCTGGAAAATGTGCATTGGCTAAAAATTACAAGGTAGACCGGTACAGAAAAACGCAAGTTTCAATTTTCAAGTCCATATTATTCATATAGCATCGCGTTTTAACCTATTTGAGATTTTTTGAATAAATATATACTACAAAGACGCTGTTAAACAAAAGTAAGACTAAATAAAAACTGATGTATATACGAATATTCTAAATTTTCTTTTTTTGAAAAAGAAGTTTTTCAATATATTTTTGTAGGCAAAATTTACGTGGTGAAGGAAAACGAAGACTAGATGTGGGAGACTCGGCTCACGCGCCGGCCACGAAAAAGTGTTCTAAAATCTTATGCAGGCTTCTTTTTCGGTGCTTTTGAGGGTTTTCTGGATCATACCTGGAATCTCAATTATGGGGTCCTCGTCTCCTTCTACCATGATTATGGGAACACCATTACCTCGCACTGGCGACTGTTTCCCGACGGCAGAAAAGGAGGGCTACGTCACCTACAGCACGCCTCCGATGCAAGAGCTGGAACTTGGTGTGGGCGCCTTGTCTCAACCTTCATTCGTTCCTGCAGAGAATGTCTTCGAACGCACAGTCGATCGATGCAGCATCGCCCCAGCACTCGGCTACGTAGCCTTCATTGGTGTTCGACACGATCCAAGCCTCTTCGTCTGCCATGATGCAGCACCCAATTCCAGCCTATGCGATTCCAAGGGTAGACCTGCTGACGAAGGCAGCGCCATTCAGGTTAGTGGCCTGATACATAGGCGCAGTCTTTCCGACACATAGCAGAGTGCGTGTATTTTATAGTGTACTATATTAGGCCACAGTCTTTGCCGATTCGCCTCTGCTCAACGTGGCTTTCGAGTTCATATAGATTTCTTAACAACATATAACTGTAAGAGAACTTGAATCTCTTACATTTAAGAAAAGTGAAACTGAGAATAACCGGGCTGATATGTGCTAACAAATTTTTTTCAAGACAAAGAACAATATTTGGCTCATTGCGCCACTGTTCCAATATTCTGCTTACGGCGCTCGTTTTTGTACCTGACGGTAACGGGTTAGATCACTGCCGTGCGGTCGCGTTTCGGTGGAGGGGAAACGCTTGAGGACCTTCCTGTTGCGCGATAACTGCACGTTAAATAACAGCCGATGGCCGAAATTTCTAAAGTCCACCACTAAGACGTGTCTCGGAATCAAAAGTGGTTTAGTACGAAAAAACCTACAAATCATTCTAATGAATAACTCGGCGTCACCTTGGCCACCATTGAATATCTCGACTTTGGTCGAATAATCGCATAGGGTGCTTGTCACCGTTTGCTAATTTTGCCATATTCTTGCCTAGATCTAGATATTGGTCGCAGACTTCCATTGTGTTCAGTTGGGTTAACTAAAGTCTCACATTTGACGCCAAACATTCTGCAGCGCAGTGTTGGGAAAATCATGTCTTTTGTGTTTGTTCACTATGTTGACTATATGTGTTTAGGGAGTATGCTTGATTGATTTGTGGGGTTTAACGTCCCAAAACCACCATTAGATTATTAGAGACGCCATAGTGGAGAGATCCGGAAATTGCGACCGCCTGGGGTTCTTTAACGTGCACCCAAATCTGAACTCAAGGGCCTACAACATTTCGGCTTCCATCGAAAATGCAGCCGTTGCCGCTGGGATTCGAACCCGCGACCTACGGGTCAGCAGCCGAGTACCTTAGCCACAAGACCACCACGGCGAGGAAAAAGTGTTTGGGGAGCCCACATTGTAGCGGCCTCTTGCCGAGAATATAAAACACACGCACTCTCTTCTGAGCCACGTATACGAACTTCGGAAAACTGACAAATTATTGATTGGTAAAGAGGACGTTATGTATTTGATAGCTGTGTTCGAGGACAAATTTACGTATTGAACGAACTCTCAGCTTAAGTATTATGATAGTGGCTGCACGTTAGTTAGTAGGTAAGGTTTTTGGCGTCTAATGCGCAGGTCGCGGGCTCGAATCCCGGGTGTGGCGGCTGCATTTTGAATGGAGGTGAAAATGCAGCTGTCCCTTGTGCTCAGATTTGAGTGCACGTTAAAGAACCCCACGTGGTCAAAATTTGAAGAGCCCTGCACTACGACGTCTCTTAAAATCAAATGGTAGTTTTGGGACGTTAAACCCCACATATGTATTACCCGTTAAAATGCGCGATGAATAATAGTTTGATTTCATTGAAAGATTGATTGTAGTTGCACCTAGTGGAGTATATATCAACAACTGCTTTTTCTACGTGGTGTGTCAGGCCCTTTGTCGAAGGCCATATATCGACCCTGATATGCAGCGCCGTCGTAATGAGAGCTCCTTCAAGACAATTTAGGAGAGAAACAGTGATGACATTTTTAATGTTCCTTAGGAACTCTAATTTTATATTACTGCAGCCCTCAGTTAATTCGCTCCAATGAATTGCAAATGCTTCTAGTCTTTGTACCGAAGCAAAAACATCATGTATTGACGAGAAACGACAGTACAAAAAGAAATATACAGACACCTGCACTGACTGACAATGAACTAGCTTGAAATCTGTTATTCTGGCACTTTGCAACCGTAGTTCTGAATTTGTTAGCGGTGGGATATGCCATGTGCTGCCTCCCTAACAGGACAAGCTTGACTGGAAAGACACCCTTTTTGCTAAAAAGGCACCGTCAGTACATTTTAACCGGCGCCAAATATCGAATGCAGCACCACTCAATTGCTGGGCCACATATGCGTTAGCAGCGGGGAAAAGCTCGGTAGCAGTTACTGCCACTTCCGAGGAACTTGCCAAGACACTCCGCAAGGCGATTATTTGGCACAAGATATCGCAAAATAACTAGGACTCTGTAAAATATATTGTGTGATGACCACATTGGCTCGTAAAATACAGCAGCTGACAAGACGGGGATAACGGTGTCTTATAGATGAAGAGGTGTAGTAGTAAAATTAACATGAAACAAACGACCGTGGTTGGCTTGTCAGTACGTTTTTGTTGACTAATTCGAGTTGCAGCTGGCTTGCAACTGTCAAAATAATGAAAGAACTCAATGAGATTGCGTGCGGAATGCATTAGCCGAAACCATCCATTGCGGCACAGAAAAGTCATTTCCATCATTTTCTCAGCCCAAGTATCGTTCCCACAAAGATAATACAATAAATGTCCCTAGTTCTGCTTTCATTCGTTAGATTACGTATGATGCTGAGAATTTCCATTTCTACCTTCTCTTTTCTCCCCTTTATGCCTTCCCCAGTGCAGGGTAGCAAACCGGATGTGCGTCTGGTTAACCTCACTGCCTTTTTTTGCATCTGTATCTCTCTCTCTCTCTCTCCATTTCTACCTACTTCATGCGAAAACCAATAAGCAAGCATCAAACTATATTTTATGATTTCGCTGCTTCAGTGTGATTATGTTTTTGCGTATTGCCCGGCTCTCATGTTATTACTGCATCTTAATTAGCTGCCTCCGAGTCAAGTGACACTGCGCGCTTACTAAATCAAATACACGTCTATCTCTGGCTGGCTATAGCCTCATAAATAAGTGTTGTGGCAATTACGAACAAGCTGCAAGGTCATCTTCTTTATTAGCACTTTCAGAGCAATGCTTGCACCCTATAGGTCTTTTTTAGCCCCGATTTATAATGAAAATAGATTTATTTTCGGGCACGACATATATATTTTCTCTTTCAATAGGGTTGATAAGAAAGACTTACACATAGGTAGGGTATGTAGTCATTGCGTCGACAAGTAGCCTTGTGGGAACGTCAAAAAAGACTGGGCAGAAGGCTGACTACAGCAACGCCCATGAATCAAGCATTTCTTAAAGCTTGAGGCATACAGCTCTTTAGGAACTTCTCTCATCTGATGATTGTGTTTAGTGGAATATGGCCTCTTCTTATCAGGTGATCCAGTTGAGCATTTACGTTTAGAAGAACATCTAGGTATTGAAGGGAAGCATTTAGTAGGATAAGCAAGATTGTACGAATACGACCATACACAATGGTTGAATAAAGTGTATTGTCACGCTTAACACAGCATGTTTGGAAACGGCATTTAATTTATTTTTCGCTGCTCCTCAATTCAGCCAGTTCTTTCGTCATGGCTCCGTTTTTGAGTTTTCGGTGCATGAGCAGCCATGCAGGCACTGCGAGATCGGGGCATCAACGAAGCCTATACAAACCTTCTGGAAATTTTCTACAGCGGAGATAACCCCAACATAGCCTTACTTACATAAAGTGGAGTTCGATGTGTGCGAAATTGTGATGCCATGGCAGGTTCTTACCGACTTGAACAGGTGACGCTGCCTTAGTCATATTATATTTATTTTAGTTCTCTTAGAAAGCAATTACCTTTAAAATCTGTGCAACATGGAATATGCGTGCTTACATGTGCTATCAATGTTTGTGAGATAAATCATTACTTGCCTCAATATGCGACCGCAAAGCCATAAAAAACATCGCATGCATCTTCCCACGGGACGAGCTCGATTGATGATTGATTGATTGATATGTGGGGTTTAACGTCTCAAAACCAATATATGATATTTATTTATTTATTTATTCATTCAGAATACTGTGAATGCCCTGATGGGATTATTACAGGAGTGGTGTCACATTGTACATTGTAAAAACAAGGAATTCACAGACTAAAAATGCATGTTGCAAGGCCTTGAAATTTCAAGCAAATATCTCAAACAGTGCAAAATTCGCCATAGTGATAGGCAAAGACTCTTCATGAATATAAACATAATATAAATTGCTGGGGCAAGCAAAAACAAATACAAAACCTAATTGTACAGACCGAGTTAAAACTTGTGACATCATCGATTCAGGAAATCACGGCTAAATAAAAGTCAGCACACATTCACTCACTCGATTAACAAATCTATGAACTGTCGGCTGTGCCAACACGGTGGGGTGAAGGGCATTCCAAGCGCGTATGGCTAAAGGAAAAAAAAAGAGTGGCCAAAAACATTGTTCTTGAAGGGATACTCATCAAGAGTGTGATTATGCTTATTTCGTGTTTGGCGCTTACTGTTAACCTTAACATAATTAGCCGGATTTATTTTCAAAGATTTGTGTAGCGTGAGATACCAAAATCTCAGTCTATCAAGCTTGGAACGGCTTGCCAAGGTGGGCAGATCCGCTCTTATCAAAGAGCAGTAGGTAAGTCGGTACGCCTATGACGGTTATAGATAAAACGAACTGCTTTACCTTGTATTCTTTCAAGCGCGGCTACATGTTTGTTTGGGAAAGGGAAGCAGGCCACACTCGCATATTCGAGGATCAGCGGATAAGCAAGGTATACGCTAGAAGTTCTGTTTGGGGTTATGAGAGACGCCATAGTGGATGGCACCGGAAATTTCGATAACCTGGGGTTCTTTAACCTGCATCGAAATCTGAGCACATGGGCCTACAGCATTTCCGCCTCCATCGGAAATGCAGCCACGCCAGCTGGGATTCGATCCCGCGACCTGCGGGTCAGCAGCCGAGTACCGTAGCCACTTGACCACTGCGGCGGGACCCCAGCTCGAGTAAATGCGTCACAAGTGGCGGGGTATCTTGTAATTGTTGCGGAACCGGGTATGTCTTGGGAACGATGAATTGTTATCTCGTCTATACTACTCTTACTTCTTGAATGAAGGAGAAGCGTTGCCTTCAGCGAGTAGTGGGACGCTGAGGTGCGATCGAAGATCTACATAGACAGGGTGGCCAGTAAACAATTGGGCAGCTCGAGCAGC